GACTGACGACGAGAGACTGAAGAAACGAAATTATTGATAGAAATTTAAACCCAATAATTTAAACTGATAATGAGTGTGCCGAAGTGCGAAGCGAATAATATATACGAAGGGGGAGTAATTGTCCTTCCGAGAAAATAAAATATGAGACAAAAAGAAACTGTATCCCTTATTAAAAAGTTTACGAACAGTTTACAAAAAGTTCTAAACAGTTGATAGAAGATTGAAGATAACCGAAGCATAAAGTACCGACATCCGCTTTCAGATGGATCATGTTTCTGTGCGGATATAGATTAGTTAGCATGAAAAAGATAAATAGATAAGTGTTATAATTACATTTTTATAAACAGAGTCTTCTTCTTGGCTCATTGTAAACTAATGTGAACAAATTTTATATTTCATGTAATAACTATTCGTGAAAACACGTGCGTTAATTACGTGTGTTTATATCCTAAAATTACTAGAATATAATAAATTTCGAGAGATTTCATCAAATCAGTGATATATAAGCGTTAATCGAAGTTACTCTATGCGTGGTTGGCGAATAAAGTACGAAATTATTTGCAATTCTGTTTATTAATTAAACATTACGACGCTGCTCAATTTGGAACCAATCCAGAATTTTGTACACACGACGTTCCATTAGTGAACGAAAAATTGATGACTTTATTTCAATACCGTACGATACAATAAAGTCAAGTTAATTGTTAATTAAAGCGCGTCGGAACATTCAAAAATTTGTAATTGAAATTCAATACAATTCATTGTATTGTACACGTGCCGTATTATAAATCTTGTACGAAATGTACGATATTATTAATAAACGATATGCTATAATACAGCTTTCTGTAACTTGAATCCATCGACACGTGTATCATTCCGCATCCTCAATACAAAAACGATGTCGAAATTGCGTTTAAATCGATGAGAACTTTAAAGCTCGTGTTAGACAGATATGCATTATAGATGCGAATTAGATTTGAATTGCAAATAACAAATTATTGTGATCAGCCAATTCGATTGAAGTGGTTCGAAATTGCGAAGATCGCAGAATATGTATGATTCTCTATTTTTGCGAATCGCAATACGCAATTCGGATCTGATCGGCGTTCCAAATGCGATAATGTTATACAAGCTTAAAGCGCGTTAGTATTGTACAGTCGTGGACAGATCGATTGCGACACTTTTTTTAATAGGCTTCTAATACAGATTTAATTTACATAATGTATATTTTATAGGTAACTAATATTTTGCAAATGCGAACCACGATGTATTATCTTTAGTCTAGAGACAGTATAACACCAATCGTGGTTCACATTTGCAAAATATTAATGCGTTTTGAAACCTATAAAAAAAAAATGTCGCAACCGATCTGTCCATGATTGTACAGGCTTAAAGCCCGTTAGTGTTATACAGGCTTAAAGCACGACGCGCGAATATACTGGAATCCGAGTTGAAGAAATAACTATATCAACGCGTGAATAACACGAGACGCTAATACAAATAAACTCCAGTTCTATCATTTCGTATATATTTTTCTATTATTTTTTTTATTCTTAATTTATTCGTCAAGCGAAATTGCGTGGAATATGTGCAATTTAGGCTCGACATCCGTCGACTCGGTACACTCGCTCAAATTTTTAATCGCGAAGATTAATTGGACAGATCGCGAATTATCCGAAGGGATTATACGCGTTTCGCGATGTGATAACGCGCCGTTGCCTACTCGATCGAGCCTGCGAATGATAAATATCGCGATGTGATAACACGGCGCGATCTTGTGTAAACAGAGCGCGTCATGCGTCGCAATAACAGACAGTAAGGCTGATATTCATAATCGATTCCTATATTTAAAATTAACTTAATTATTAGCGTTTTCGGACTAAGTGGGTTTGATCGCTCCGAAAGCGATTAATAACGTCACATGCTCTCCTTGTCCAATCAGAAATGTAAAATAGAGCATGTGAGGTAATTAATCGCCCTCGGTGCGATCAAATTCACTCCATCCAAAAACGCTGTATAAATCTTAAGAAGTCATAAGCCAATTATAGTTAAATATAAAAACGGATGAATTAAGGCCTCAAATTTGATTTGCACTATGTGCAAATCAAATTGAAATACTCAAAATATTCTACAACTTTTACAAATTAAATGACGCCGATTATTCTGCACCTTTTATGTCCGAATTAATTTTGATGAATAGATTTTTACCGTATTTTAACAACCATTTATAATACAGAATTTATAAATTTGATAAAAAAATATTCGGATATATACATTAAGTTGTTAATATTATCATTTATATGCAAGCAAATTTTTACGTCTTATGAGATTGGATACATGAACGAGCAACGCGTCGGACGCAAGATTGCTGAATTTACTGAAAGAACTCGCTGACGATGAGGAGAAAAGAAAAACGTGCAGCGAGTTAGGTGGATCGCTGCAACTGAGAAGGGTTGTTTCTAGGAGCAATTTGTAACGATATGCGCCCCGGGAAACCGCATCGTCCCGATAGGTGGTGAAGGTGGAGATATCTCGAGGTAGCCGTCGAGAACTTCTAGACCGAAGCCAAGACTCTTGACTTCAGAACTATCTCTAAGGAGCGGGTCTCGTCTAGTTGCCGGAACGGTCGGACGGCTTGTAGACGATAGGTTCCTTGGCGCTTTTTGCCCGGCTTTTTATACCCCCGGATTGCCGGTCCTGGCGCGGTAGTGGGGGAGACTTATAGCGCAGCGCTTCTGCGCTACGTCTCCCGCATTATTGTTTAAACGTATAACGTTTAAACCGTCTATTTACATGATTATAACGGGCGCGTTCGCGCCGTTTCGTCGCCCGACTGTTGTTCGGTCGCGCGGCATCGGCTGTTTGTCGCCGGGACGATGCGGTTTCCCGGGGCGCATCGTTACATCATCCCTCCCCCCTTTCAAAGTGCCTGAATTTTGAGGCATTTACAATGGTCTTTTGCGGATGCGGCGGACCGTCCCATTCCCGTTAAAACGAATGTGCCAGCGGTTTCCCCTGGAACGGCATTTCCACTCCCGCGTGACATGAACAGAAAAATGCGGGATTTTGACGATGTGTCCCGGCTCGACCTCGACCGGAATCGGCGGTGGCGGCAATGGCCCCATGACCCGGGCCGGTTCCAAGCTTGGGAGCGAGGGTGCCGGTGCCCGGGCTTCTGGCTGCCGTTGGCGTGGTGAAGCCCGAGGGGGGTTTGTAAGCCACTCGAGCTTCAATCGCCGCTGCCGGTCCGAGGGCTGCACCACGTTTCCGTGGATGCATCCCACGGTCGGCACGCTTTTGTGGCCTGGCTGCGGATCCGGTGTCGATGCCGCGGCGGGTTTCGCTGGTGACATCGGTAAGACGTCCGCTCGCGTTCCCTCTTCGAGCACACGGTTCCAGATCTCATCCATTTCTGGGTGAGTCGGATCCTCCGCGCCGTATAGGATTTTGTAGATCGCCTCGAGAATATCGTGCTCCATTGCGTACAACAGTCGGTCGCGAAGTGTCGGTTTTCGCTGGCATATCGCGGGATAGCGTACGGTTGGCGGGGGGGGGGCTCTGCGTCGGCGTCACTTCCTGTTGTTGTTTTTTATTCCTCGTCGGTCTCCGTTTCGCCGGTCGGTGGTGGCTCCTCGGCGCTCGTGTTTTCCTCGACTTGCTTCTCCGGCGCGGCTTTCAGGTCCTGAATGCATATGTGTCGGGCCCAGCGGCCACGGGCGTCGCGCAGGTCGAGGATTATCGGGGGATATTATTCGTCGCACTTCGAATGGGCCTCGGAATTTTGGGGCCAATTTTGCGTTAAAGGCGGCGGCTTTGTTAGAGAGTGGGTACTCTCGCTTCCATACCCACTCCCCAACTTTTGGTTTCCATGAGCGGCGGCGAAGATTGTAATATTTTTCCTGCCTTTGAAAAGCACGCGCCTCTAAGGAGCGGGTCTCGTCTAGTTGCCGGAACGGTCGGACGGCTCGTAGACGACAGGTTGTTTCTAGGAGCAATTTCATGCAAGTATGTAGGTACGTACTATAACGCCGTGCATTAGTATCATATATCATAGATATCATCGGCACTTGCTATAATCAGTAGGAATCACTTACTTTTCGTTTTAATAAATTAATCGGCGATTTATAATCGCGGTCGAGTTATAGTACGTCTCGATTAAATCCTATTATCTTGACCGAGTTTCTTGAATATCGGCTAAACAGAAAACGTTTTAATACGAGATTGAAAATCTGCTTCCTATATCAATTCTTTGAATTTTTTTAAATGATACAGTTATTAATTAACTTAAAATTTAACAATGCAAATTATTTATTATTAATATCTAGTATTAAAAATGACAGTAAATGGAAAATAACATTTTATTTCACCAGCTGAAGATTCCGTTTGCTATAATTATATAGATTGTAAAGAGTAAAAATTACTATTAAAAAAAATAGTTATATATTTTTATGTGTTTTATGCAAATAATACTATTACATCTTTTTTATTGAAATTGTGATATATATTATTTATTCAAAGTTTATAATTTTATATGACATAATCACAGAGAATTTTGGATTGTAATAAAAAAATAGAAAATATACCTTTGTTTTTAATATCTTATGTAATAAAATCATGAGATGCAATTTTAAAAAAATCACGCTGTCGTCGTTCTTGACAACTATTGTCGTCATAACTTATTTCACAACCGGGGATATATCTGTAACTTATGAGTAATTTACGATATACCAAAGCAATGATTTTCTTGTACAATAACAGATGATTCGGTCCAGCAACAAGTAACACTTCGAATGTTAAATAATTACTGTATTTTATTTAAAGTCCTTAATTTATAATGCTTAATTTGAAAAACTATTTTTTTTGTACACTTGATTTTTTTATTTAGAACTTATGAATATTTCCTTGAAATAAAATTTTGCAAATCTATCTTTAAATTACTTTTTGACGAATTGATTCCTAACAACAATTGATTTCGGACAAAGTACAAAAATTATATATATGTCTATAAAGACGTGAATATATTCTATGAACACATAGATAATAAGTAACAACTATTATGAAAGATAAATAGAAAAAAAGACACGGACACATATCTATAATACATATTATCTGTACGCTTACTTAGAGCATCGATTTTTTGCATTTGCGTTACAATAAATAAATGAATATGTTCTTGCTTCTTACAGTTTAATATAACTATATATCTATGATATGCTAGTATCTACTATTTCTATGATTTAAAATGAAATTTTTGACAAAGTAAATAGAATTTACTTTTTTAACATATACATTTTTACGCTTTTTTTCTTTTTTTCCTTCAAGAAATGATAAAATTAATTTATTTTTAAGAATTAATTTTATAACGTCTAAACTATTACATTCCATTTTTGGCATCGATCAATTGCATAATTAAGATTACAACTTTGCAGCAACTAATTGTTCCCGCTGCGAAAAATTATTATTGTACTACTACTAAAAATACAAATCTAAACTTATATATATATGATAAATTTATAAATTAAAAATAAAAATATAAGAACGACACGTGACATATATGTGCTAAATTATCATAAAATATAATCGCAATTACTCCGTATTATTGATCTTGATTGATTTGACTATAAAACTGTAGGAATGTCCATCGACGTCCTCTAATTCCCTCGAATAAAATTTCGCCGCTATTCTGGCACGTCCTTCTAACTTTGGCATCATGGAGAAGCTACATTCTGCGTCCGCATCTACTTCGACTGGTTCCGATAGCTTCAGCTTCAACTGTTCGTCCAGACCAGGCCCCTCGATAAGGAATCTACCCTTCCTCAACGGAACCGGCAGCGGATTGCGAAACTTAGCCGTAGCGTGAAGAGTCTGATCGACCACCGCTTCGTTATGCAACTACAGAAAAATAAATTAAAATTTACCATTTTTACAAAGTAAAATCCATTTGCTGTACCATTATTTTCTCTCTTTCGTTTTATCTTTGTCTACAAATGTTGTACGCATATTCCAATAATTACCGTGATTTTAATGTCAGGTTTCCTAACGCGAAAGTCATCCTGCGCGAAGTACTCGAAGTTCGTGTCCTTCACGGTGGCGAGGCAGGCGATATTGAAAGCGCATTGATCCAACAATCTTGGACCGTACTCCTCCCAGGAAACATCCATGCGAATCTCCTCGAGCATCCCTGGTCGAACCAGTCTATCGATGTGCAATCTTTTCACCGGATCGCCTACCCGGCCGGTGTACAGCACAGTTTCCACTCTCAGAATTACAGAGACGCGATATTCCATCGTCGAATTCCGATTTTTTATCAGTAATACGACGCTATCGGAAAGTAAGAAAAATTCGGAATAGAGTAGAATAAAACAAGAGAAAAGCGTTAAAGATCGATAAACATGTTTAAATTAAGTTTTGAAAAAAAATAAAATATGAGTTTGAAGATTTTTACATAATTTTTATATGTTATATTAATATTAAATTATCGTACGGTATCTCGGCAATTACAATTGGGTTAAGCAATCGCTACATTATTATATATTGTACAATATAAAGAACACTTGCAAGAATAGTAAAATAATTCAATCAAAGTAAGTACCTGAATGGCTGCCCAATTATGATGTCATCGCGCAATTCGAAAGTGAACATGACGTCGTTGAACTCCTCATTGAGATAATAACGGCTAAATAAAGATTCACTCTGGCGCAACGCTTTCAGCATAGCCGCACGTTCTTCATCGGATTCTATTAACATTAAAAATAATTATTATTACTTTTATAAATGACGTTAATAACTGATCAAATATTACATTAAACTAATATAATATTTCAGAATTAAATATTCTGAACCAGGACAGTGATCGCAATGCTAAAAATTCAGATAAAGTAGTAATCAATAAAATAACATGATCCTTCTTTTGTACGAACAATGTTGATGCAAATATTACTGATTTTAAAAAATTACAATCATAACAAAATTCCCAATTATTTAGGATTTGTTCATTTATCCTTTATTAAAATCTTTGAATAATTGAGCTAATAAATCTGGTTACAATTGTAATTTTTCAAAATCTTCAATAAAGAAATAATAAGCCCAATGATAAAGAAATAATTGAAACAATCTTATTTTATCCAAACGATCTGCAAATAGCAACTTGAGTAATATTTTTTATGAAATCTCACTTACTCTCTGGATACTTGTAAGTGTGCGTGATGTCTTCTCTTGCCCATCTGCCAACCGCTTTTGTGCTGATTAACTGGCCAATGCTGCGGAATCGTCATCATCGTCATTGCAATCAATCTTAATAATCGCTACAATACAAATATAATTTGTCATACTTACCCGTACATATCCTTGCGAATTAACTTTAACGGCTGCGTCGGTCCGTTGTAACGCCAGTAGACTTTGTCGGCATTCACCTCGGCGAAGACGAACGCATTGTCGTAGGGACGCAGGACTTCCCCTTTCTTTATGGCGGCCACCGATGCCGGTCCGCAACGATACGCGCCCTCGCTCAGTTCCTGAGGAGTCGCGTCGATGACCTGCCATCCCGAACAATCCGGCGATAGATCCAATCGCTTCATCCACACCTCGTTCCAAACGTGGAAATTCCTGCCACGGCGAAAATCGATTATTCTATTATCTACTGCCATTTAATATTTCCTAATTTTTCATCAAGAATTACCAATTTAATCGACACAGCAGATTATCCCGAATAATAAAGATTAATCATTTCATGTATATTTATTTCTACACGCATCTATTATTTTCGTTTTGATTCTTATCACATTTGATCGTGACTTGCAAGGAAAAGCTGAAATGTTGTCCGCCTTGAAATTACCATATGGAATCGTTGTTGAGCTCCTCCATAATCTTGCCTTCCGCATTGACGAAGTAGTCCACGGTCAGGCTGCTTTGCGTATCGTGCGCGCTCGAGTAGTTGGTCACCACTCGACATGGTATACCCAGAGTGCGACAAATGGTCGTCAGCACGCCGGCGAAGACCCAGCACTGCCCGTACTTGACCGGTTTCTTCGTCTTGTAATACTGCTGGAGTATTTTCTGCGAGCCCATCCACCTCGTAGGTGGTGTACCGCCCCCGTAGTCGTCCGACCAATTTCCCATCACTGCCCCGTTGTCGTCGGGAGAATTCACCTAGAAAACGACATGCCACATTTATCAATTCGGAAATTCCGAAACTTCACTCGTATACGCTAGAAATAAAAGTATATACTTTAAATATCATCTCTCTCAAAATATGGCTTAGTTTTGCTAGAAAAATTTTTTCTCCTAAATGGCTTACCGCGGCGGACAGGCAGCGCGTTATGATAACTGGATCGTTCCTGCCGGAAACGCGGACTTTGCCGACGTAGTTCATCAGGTGCAGGGTGCAGTCCAGGATGTCCCGTTCGAATTGCGCGTACTTCCATACGGTGGGCCGCATACGGTTGTGACTGCCGCGCCAGATTAAACCGTCCTCCGCCATCACATACTCTTGACGCTCAGCCTCGCCATCCAGATACACCACGTCGTCTGAAAAGTGGAGATATTCTGCAAAACTCGGGCTCGACAATTAACAAATTCGCCCCTGCCGTGCGGTTACAGATTATAGTTTTAGTAATTATATATAATATATGACACATTTTTATTTATACACACGTAAGTGTAATAAGTAATCAAACTGAGCATGTCAAATAATGTGTCATACATGTCATGTGTAATGTCGGGTTTCATGAAAATGACTACGTCATATTGTATCTTCGTGGTATAGTAAATGTTAAAAAAATAATCTTCAGCCCACGATGCTCAGACCGAGAAGATCTTCAAAAATGTCCATTATTATGTCTTAAATATATATAAAAGCAGTATCGTAAATTATGACGCGACGCTTCGTTGGGCGAAACGGAAGATTAGAATATCTGCGAACACATACCTCTGCACCATGGATTACAGATCAAGTAAAACGGATGATCCATTGTGTAACTGACAGCACCTTCGGATTCCTTGTTCTTGGTATCGATATCCATTTTCCATCTGCCTATAATCGCGTTTGCGGATGTTACAACCTGAAAACGACAGACATTATTAACAAGAAGTCTTTTCCGTCTTAATTCCTTCCTTCATAACGTTCAACGTTTCTAAATTAATTAAGATGACTGTCAACATTTTTAATATTGCAATTCGCAAGATCCATGATTCAATATTCAAATTCGATTATTTTAAGTGTATTTTACTTTACGAAAAAACACTTTAGTTTTAATATAATTAATTCTGATTATAAAACTATTATATATAATATATTCCGACCGTATATATGTGTTTAACACTAAATTGAGAGAAAGCCAACGAACGGTCATAGCAACATCTTCGTGCTTCTAATATTTCTAAATTTTATATACATATACTAGTTCCACAAATTGCGCGCCATTATTTTCGATCTCGACGCAGTTCTTGCTTGAAACAGAATAGTATTCTCACGTTATTAAATTGATCAAGTACTGATGTGGCATCTAATAAATCCCCCCTTCTCTGCGACGCGACGTAAATGCTAATCCAGATAGCACACAGAGCACAAAAGAATTCATTAGTATATTCAGTTTTATGTCATCAATTCTGAGTTAATTTTCAGGTGCAAAAAGAATCCCTTTTAGAAAAAGAATTCTTTTTGCATCTGAAAATGAATTAGTGACATATAACTGAGTTTTTTTTTCATCCTCTGTGCTATCTGGGAAGAAATTTCTTTTTGCTACGAAAAATATTACCTCGACCAAGATTTGAATCAGGACCTACCTATATTCCGTGCGGGCGTCTTACCCTGTTCGATCACCGAGGTATGTGATAATATTCATCGTAACAATCAAAGATATTTAAAATATAACGTATTATAAGCCCAATGTGTATAAACAATATATGTACTGATATTCCGACCGCGAAAAAAAATTGTTTAGCATTTATGTCGTGTTGCGGTGGAAGGGGGAATTTATTAGATGCCGATGAGCATCAGTGCTTATTAAATTGATTACTAATTTAATAACGTGAGAATATTATTCTGTTTTAAGTACTTATCAAATTGATTATCAATTTAATAACGTGAGAATATTATTCTGTTTTAAGTACTTATCAAATTGATTAGCAATTTAATAACGTGAGAATACTATTCTGTTTCAAGCAGGAACTGACGTCGAGACCGAAAGTAACGGCGCGCAGTTTGTGGAACTAGAATATGTATGTAAAATTCACATTAGAAGCACCAAGATCCTACTATGACCATATGTTGGCCTCCTCTCAATTTAAAACTGTTATATTGAGATTATAAATTTTTACAAACTTTCAAGCATATCAAATTTAAATTATTATTAGCGAAAAATCTCGCAGAATCTCGTATTTTAGCAACGCTCCTATACTCGCCTTTATTCTCAAGAAATTTGGTCCTCTGGCATCTATGGTGGTCTGCCAGGCGGCATCAGAAGTCTCCCCAGGATGGAGCAAAGCTGTTGCCACCAGTGTCCCATGCCCATGTTGCGGCCTCTCGACGCCGTCCAGCGTGAAGACGATAGAAATACCGTCGATGGAAGAAGTATAATCCCGCGATAGATTGAGGTGCAGATAAAATTCCTGACCACGTCTGACGACAAGTCTTGCTCTGTCATCCTGACGGGTCATCAGCTCGTATCTGGACGTCCGATGATTCTCGCCGTTCTCCTCGATGCAAGGATCCACATTGTGAATCGTCAATACTGGAACGCCGAAATCTTCCCCTGTGAGAATGACAGCGTTCTTAAGGATTATGAATTATAACATGTATCTTATAACAAAAGGTTGAGAAAATTATACGAATAGAAAACCGGAAATTATAAATTCTACTTTGATAAAGATGTTTAGACAATAATTAAGTAATAAATAGTTGTAAGATATCTTGGAATAAAATTGCTCACTTGGAAGCATTTTCAATGATTAATAATTGAATTGTTGAGAAGTACGAATTCCTATGAAAGAAAGTAGTACATTTAGGATAAAACAATTACAATTAGAATAAAACATGTACAATTAGCACAAATTAACGGAAAACGGGAATTTGCCAGATTCATTCAAATTAAAAGTCATGTAAGACTTTCCGATCCCGAAAAAGTGTCAAAGACATCTAATTGTTTTTAGGCCTAGCAGGGAATTATAAATAATTATAATCTTTTTAGATTATAGATTAGAAGATTCTATAATTTCTTGTTTGAATTTCTATAGGTGCAATCTATTGTTTTTGTCATTCAATTCAAGACTAAAAATCTTCTAAGAAGAATATTCTTAATTATATATGAGAATATCTATCTTTGATTTAAGACTAATTTTTTTTGTGCGGTAAATACTACAGGGAGATCTTTCGGAAACACCGCTTGATCGTCTTCTCCATCCTCGAAAATAATTAAATAATTAATTTATTATAATTAAATTTATTATAATTAATTAATAATTATAATAAAATTGATAACGTACGCGAAGAGAGAGTAATTGTTTTTCCGAGAAGATGAAATGTGAAATTATAAAGTTTTATACAAACTTTTGAACATATCAAATTAATTGAAAATAAATTCTCATTAGCGAAAAATTTCGCAGGATCTCGCATTTTAGCAGCTCCTATACTCGCCTTTATTCTCGAGAAAAAAAACTATATATTCCTCATTAAAGAATTTACGTTCTAGACGGGTAATAAGATAAACAAAACGCTAGTAGCGGTATACAGATAGGCTTCTATACAGATGAACCAAACAAATTTATACGTTAAGGTAGGACAAGAATAACATTAAGTAATACGCGACAAATCGAATCCAGAAAATCCTTCTTAGAAGATGGCGATAAATTATACGTCCTTTGACCGATCTTCAAATGCAGCCGAAGCACGCAATATCGGGAATATTTAGCGAAATGTATGCCGTAGAATAAATAACAATTGTAAGTTACTATGTAAGAATTATGTACAAATATTATAAAAATAGAATAAAACTGCACCAAATAACATGGTAAAAACTCCTTTTTTTTCAACCGAGGAAGAGTATTGTAGCTCACAAGCTACAACTGTATCGAGTATTTCCTACAATAACGTAGTGACAATCACGTCTTCTCACGAAATTTCAAAAACGCAAGACTGCAGAAATCGTAAATGCGCCCGGTAATATCATTCTTTCTGTATACGATTGTATCGTGTAGAAAAAATCCGCGAAGAACGTGAGGGACTCACAGTAGAATCTGAACGGAAACGGTCGGGTACGCCGATCGTTGAATATCCGGTAGCGATCGTAGAATCTGTAAAACATCCCGCGGCGGTCCGGGTGCAACGGATGCGCCGGCTGCGGATGCGAACGGTAGGCTGGATACATGGATGAGGAACGCGTCGGACGCGAGATCGTTGAATGACTGAAGGAACACGCCGACGACGAGGAGGAAGGAAAAATCGTGCAGCCGAGGTGGGTCGCGCTGCAGCTGAGGTGGGTCGCTTCTAGGAGCAATCTCAAGGACGTATGTGCTGCAACGCCGTGCGCGACCATACATGGCGTCATCGGTGACACCCGCTTGTCAGTAGGAGTCACCTACTTTTCGTTCTCATAAATTAGTCGGCGATTTATAATCACGGTCGAGTTATCGTATGTCTCGATTGAAGCCTATAGTCTCGATTATCTTGCGTTTCTCGAATTATGTAGAGACATTTTAATTACGAGACATTTTAATAGGAGTAGATTGCAAATCTGCTTCCTACATCAATTCTTCGAATTTTTATATGTGGTAAAATTATTACAAATATTAATATTATTGCATAATTTTTAAAACATATATTATTTACAAAGTTTATATAATGACATAATTATAAACGAAGTTATAACAACATAATTATATAGGGCTTTATGGATTACAATAAAAAATAAAACACCCCCTTGTTTTTTACAATAACATATGTATCTCAGAATCATGAGACATACAATTAAAAAAAATCATGCTGTCGTCATTCTTGACACCTATTGTAACTTACGAGTTGCAAATACCAAAGCAATGATTCCCTTCTACAATAACAGCAATCAGATGATTCGATCGAAGTAACGAGTAACTTAAAATGTTAAACAATTATACTGTTTTTTTTTATTTAACTTTCTATTATTTTATTATGTTTAATTTTAAGAACTGTCTTTTTTTAATGTTGTACATTTGACTTTTTTATTCAGAATTCACAAATATTTCCTTGAGATAAAATTTCGCAAGTCTCTTTATCTTTAAATTAGTTTTGACGAATTGATTTCTACGGATAAACTACAAAAATTATATAGACATGTGAACAATGCATTTCGTAATTAACGGATTGCATGCCTATGCAATCAATTTAATAGCATAAACCTACATTCATTAATTATACCATATTAAAGAGGAGTCATTAAAACCCACTACAATTTAAAGAAATGCGAATGTTGGTCGTTTTCGAAACCTACGTGAAACAATCGATTCCCTAGATAGAGCGAATATCCCACAAGTTAGAATGGTATCTCGGTAATTAATGATCAGAAAAAGAACATCGATCATTATCCTGGAATGCGTGTTATAACATGCAATCGTACAAGATTCTCGCATTTAAATCGCCACAATAATAGAAGCGGTAATTAAGCTTTACTGTCTCTGCAGTGAAACACGTTTCTCGCTATCAGATCTTCGTTCAATTCATTCGATCCAATGTAATGGGCTCGTTTCTCTTCAAGAACACGTGTAAGAAATCACTTTATCACCGAGTTGCGATTTCCATTTCGGTTGACTCGTGATACAATTCAATTTGGTAAAACCGACGGTTTGTAGAATTTCAGGTCAATTAGAGCTAGGCCAAGTTTTACCGTTTACGGGAAGACAAGGTGGTGCTCCGTATTAGTCGGGGCGACAATTGTACGCGATTTGAAAAAGTGTCCTTCTCAGTGACAGTTTCCAATGGTAGTTTTCACCGATAATTCTCAATCCACGTGATACGAGATGACATCTTTCATTCAAATTTTATATATAATTAGCTTTTATGTGACAGTGCGACAGCTTTCGACTTATATTACTTCTCGCGCGGACACACCGTCATTAAAAAGCAATTGATCGGCGTCATACACTTTTTACCTGCGTCAGTCGACTAGACAGTGTTGCTTAAGACTTGAATTATTACTGCAGACTATTGTTAAAAGAAAAATCGAAATATCAACAGAAAAGAAGATCGTGGATTTAAGCGAAAACATTTTAGAACATAAGTAGAAATATTATTGCATTGTCAGATGTCGTATTTTAGCACAGGATTTTAACAACGCGGCAAACGACTGTGACTGCATCACACAGAGTCACTCTTGTCGCGTTATTCAATCTACGAATAACAATACGCGCTCTCCATTTGTCATTGTAATCAGCTTACTTCATCGGTCTGAATACGAAAATGATGATGTTCCAATGACTCAGTTACGGGATACACATATATCATGGGTAGTGTGCGGAAATACTGTTACAAAAATAAAAAATCGAGCGACACGTGGCGCTCCAGATTGAGATCTCTTGCTTTCAATCGATTTTCTTTCTTTAAATTAATTTAAAACGAAGCTCTTTTTAATAACGTTTTAAGATAGGATCTTAAAACTAAACTTGAAACCAACTAAAAAACAAAGTATTTGTTTACAAAATACTACCCACCAAAATGCAAATTGTGTTTCTTCTACGCGACGAATGTGAATAATTAAGACTCGGAAGGACGCGGTATTTAAAAGTGAATTTTCTACATCGATTCCTGACAATGAGTAATGCAATTAGAATTCCTATCGGGATCGCGTGTCTTATAAAAAAAACACGTGCAAGATATTCTTGATCATAAGGAACTTGATGCTCCGGTTATATAAATATACGTCGGGATATCTTAATAATCGCGCGCAATGCAGAAACGCTGTCTGGCGATAATGATATGTTAATCTCTGTAGCTGAGAAGCTGGGAAGCAGAAGGATGTAAGTCCAAAAACTTATATACACCTGTCGAGCGATTTACATAGAAGAGGATGAGTCAACGAAGAAAGTTATCTGAAAGAGCGTGACTTAATGAAAAGAATCTTTAGTACGGAGAATCTCCAACGGGTAATCATGAAAGCACGATTCGGCGAATCTTTCGTGACTAATCTTTCCGGTTAATTTGCGATTCGAAAAGTGCCAAAGAATTTTGTGAAACTGTATCTCGTGCGGCATTTAACGTAATAAGATATAAATAGTAATGCGGCAATCTTTTTAGGAAATATGATGAATTAGCAACAAACACACACACACACGCAACTTTTTGTTTTTGACTTAAAAAAAAAATCTAGATTTTTGTGCGTTAATGGAATACAAAATATCCTTGGATAAAATGAATTTTTTATTGAGCTCTTAACCGATAATTCATAATATAAATACTATATCTAGTTTGTTCGCGAATACTTCGGGGAAAAGCGACGACGTAAAACACGGCTTTACGTCGACGAAAGTGACGTCACCGTTTAGCGGTCACGGCACCGCGTCGCTTGCGTAATTACACTTTCATTCGCGACAATGAATGAAGCCATTAACGCGCGAGTTCGAGACCCGATTTTGACAAGTCAAGCCCTAAGCTAGAAAAATTCCTTCAGAGAAAGAAAACGCGCGAAGAATTGGGTTGCTTCAAATAATCTAATTGATACCTAATATCAATATATAATTTATAGAAATTAGATATAATACCTAATAAATCTATAATATCAATATAACGCATAATAAATCAATAGGAGGCACTCAAAAGGATCTCGCTGGAAGAACAGAAAATGAATTTATGTGTATACACACAGACGTACATGCCGACTTCCCAAGAAAGTTAGTGGATTCTGTGCATATATGTATATCTTCGGCACATGATAAATGGCGCCCGCGCGACGATACCTAATGAATAATACCGCCGTTTTTAAATGCACACAATCATAATAACGAAGGCCGGCGCCTCGCGGGAGAGACGGAAGCTGACACTTCCCATCTGGCTGAGTATATTTTCTCAAATGGAGAGCGCGTGCGATAACTCGAGTGTGCTCGAGCGAACAAATCCCGCATTGTATCAGCGGAATCCGCGTTTATTTTCAAATCGTACGCCCGCTTATCGGGATGCAGCAATCAATTCTATGCTGAGAAAATATGAAGTAACGCAACATCTCTTATCAAGTTTGTTGAAAAATTACTTATATTAATTTTACGTATAATTGGGAGAAGCGGAAAAAATTTCCTTAACTCAAGCGAAGACGTAAACTTGCAAATAGCAAAGATACTGAGAAATGAGCATTTTAGATGTTTATATATCGCGTTATTTAATAATGTTAATAACGGCCAATAATTCGAGCCAAAAAAGATGTTATAAAATAATTTATTTATTACAGAAAGTAAAACTAACGGACCGTTTTGACCTTACTTGTTCGGCCTTTTCAACCGTATACAACTAAAAAATTATAAAATAAAGCCCGGCCTTAATGCATTATTGTCGTCCAAATTAAATATATGACAATGAAAATATTATATTTATAGATACAAATACGTAAATATATCTACGTTTTCAACTTTATATTTTTCAACAAATTGAAAATAAATGTTACGTAATAGAGTACACAGCCAACGATACTTGACACGAACGTATACATACGATAGTAAACGAATAAGGATCTCTCCTGTTACGTTAACGCTCATCTCGCGTCAATCGTTTTCGTTGTTCATTTCCTGTATTGCGACAATAAAATCATCGCCTACGTATCAAATTGCCGACCTTGCGATTTTTTTCTTCTTGATGACATCATGCGTTACATATAGACTGTAGTCTAACGTAAACTATTGCTTGCAATTTCTATCGCACCAAAAATCGTTGACTACGCACGTTTTCTCGGCACGTGTTGCATAAAACTAACATATATAGGCGCAGCATAGCCTTGACCAGTATTCTTTAAATAGGTTTTAGGGTACACCGGAAGAGTACTTCGCCTCTTGACTGAATTATTAAGATTGATACAGCACGTTCGGTTGTTCAACTCTTTACCGCTGTATTCAAGTTTCTTTTTATATATTCTAGAAAGTCTTGCTTTATATATTCTAGAAAGAACTTGCTCAATTTGATTGATTGACATTCTGATTAATCTTCTTATTGTTAGCGTATTTATGAAAAGATCTGTATTTTCAAAAACAAAAAAAATAAAACAGAAACAATAAAATTATTCTAAAAAATTTTAACAAACGAAATTTAATCGAGCAAAAACTTGCTTAATTTGCATGTTTTTATTAATGTAATTCTCTTTATATTTAGCCTGTTTTTTTTATTTATATATAAAAAAAACATGTATTTTTCAGACCCACACTGATCCTCTTGATATCTAGTGCATCCGCATGAAAATGAGACACAATTTTTTAAAAATTACTTAAAAAACAATAAAATTTACATATCGATTATTCAAAATGGTTTAAGCAACTAAGATTCTTAAATATTGTAAGTAAAATCGTAGAAGCGAAGAATTTCGATATGAAAAAGTGATCTCGCGATAATTCGCATCATTCATTTACGTGGGAAAATCACGAGGTCTAAACGTTGCACCTCGCTGCATTATCCGCATCTTAGCGGGGGCATGCGCCCTCGTTTACGCTGATTTACATTTAGGCGTGCAATACGGACCGCATACGGTATTTTACGCGCTCGCGTGATTCATACCGCTGACGATCACGCCTATCATCTCCGTTTTATTAATTGATTTCCACTCCGCTCGCGTGCGCGAACTCTGTCCTCAGAGGAGTCAATTGGCTACGTGGTGTCAGGCCAAGATATGTCTGGCGTAGAGAATATACCCCTTGTTATCGAGATCCATTCTGTCGCAAATATCGCAACGCGAAATTACATTTGCTCGAATATAAAGATATAGAAAAAAAATCGCTCGACCTAATAAATCCAATTGTTGATTAAAGAAAATAATATAATGTAATTTTTCGTGTTTACTTTGAATGTTTACATTAGTCTACGATTTCTAAAACAGATAAATATAAATAGATATATCACTATTTATTACGCCTTCTAAGATAACATTCCCTCAAATTGAAAAAAAATTATGTACATCATTTTAATATGTTGTACAACATTTTGAATCCAAATTAATACAAGCTGGAGAAAAATTTAAAAAAAAAGGAAAAAATAAAAATGAAATAAAAAGGAGGAAATATATTATTGTATACAATAGAAAAAAATTACAAAAGAAAGAAGAATGAAATAAGAAAAAATATATCATTGTTTATAATAAAGGTTTATAATAAGTCACTTTTATATTCTAATTCGCACGATTTGCGTATACGATGATTAAAAACAACTAGGGTAATAATTGTATGGCTTTCAATAATTACAGACATCGTGCTAATAATAGTAGATGCGTGATCATTTTTATACCCGTAAATATATCGTTCGTCACTTCTCGATAACGTGAGACGAAAGGTCAGAGAGAGATTTATTGACTCACGTACCGGAAGCGTGCACGCAAGAAACATTCGGGAACGGGAAACGGGAAAGATGATATTCTTATCCCTCTTGCGATTTTTTAGCTCCTCTCTCTTAATGCGATCCAAACTTTCGGTAGATATGCAGATAATCGTAATCCCACAAGAATATTTAGCTCGCCCCGGGAAAACATTAAGGACGTAATCTATTCGAAAAGTTACTCCTTCCTCCTGAACTTTTTAATCAGCATTAATAATAGTATTATAATTAGAATTTCTTCCGTGTACAAATATATGCAATGATATTACAGTGCATTAATACGAATTATGTGATAAACATCTTGTTTAAAGCTTTTCAAAAATCAGAATTTTTATTAGATTTTTAATTGTCAGTACACTCGACCGGCAATTATTATTAATAATTAAGAAACAGGATTAAACTTACCATCAGGGACAGTGGAAGGCGGTCGTGGTATCTCCGGAGGCTGATGGGGTCTGAACACGGCCCTAAATCCGGAGAGGCACTTGCACGAGCAGCACCGTTTTTTCATGATTAGCCACGAACACGAACGCTATACTGTCCATAATATTTCTCATCAATCATAGATTCACGCATTACAAATTATGCCTGATAAAATGTTTATTCAATAATTTTCATCATTTTCTAATAAATCTTATATAAGCTTCTATTGAATGGCATTTATAAATTGAATAAAATTCCTCATCCGCTGGACATAAAACTCTAGAAACAATTTTACAATTTGTAAAATTAGAAATAATTGAACAGTATAATTTGATTGTTGCATAAATCATTTTTTAATTCAGTTAAATTTTTCTTTCTTAATTTGAATATAATCGAATAAATCGAGAAAAATATGACTCTTGATACGATTAATTCTAAGCCTATAATTCAGCACATTTAATCGAGGACAAGCGGGGATCGCATAAACGAGACATAACGGCTCTTTAATTAAAGAAAATGGTAACTACAACGTAACTACAACGTAATCGACAATTCATTCAATATGCAAAATATGTCATCGCATGATAACGATATTTTCAAAAGAGTAAAAACAATTTATAAATTAAAGATATGTATATCGCACAATATTTTATTTTATGATATTATTCTGATAATCTTTACTTTTCACATAAATTTAATTATATTCTATTTTAATTTTAAAAAAGTAAATTAATAACATAAATTATTTATATTTTAATAAATCATCCTAAAACAATTAAATTTACAATAAGTTTATAATTTTATATAAATTTGTATCTGATGCTGTAATTCAGGTTTTTGTCACTTAAATAAATTGGCAAATCATCATAAGTCATATTTTTGCAACGTATTATTAGAAATAAGTATGTAATAAAATTTTCAATATTTATTAAATATGAATATGTATATACTTTTTTCTTAATAAACTTTTCATTGATTTATAAAATTTATAATTATAATATTTATATAATATAATTATAAAATTATAATATTTATGAAAAAATATATATATTTTTTTTCATAAATATATTTAATATCACTTAAATTTTTCCGTAATTATAAAATTTATTTTACAAAATAATTTAAAATAAATTCTGTACCTGCAAAATGTTATTCTAAGATAATTTTCTTTAATAAATGAGACTTCGCACGATACTACATCACTACACATCCCGAGCGCGTGTGTGCTTGATGATTAAAACAGCGTGTCGATCTCCGTGCCGAGCTGTCGAGCGACTGTCAGTGAAAATCAGCTGCCATTGGCAGCAGAGCAAACGACAGTATCTCCCGCCAGTCTTTGGACTTAACTTTTAGAGACATTTAACAGTAATGATATGCGAGTGTACTCTAACGTAGGCACCTTTTATGCAACATTGCTCAGACACGCCTCTTCAGATAGTAAAGTAGATATTACGCTCGTTAATTACTCTTGCGTAGCTCCTACGTACTTTTTGCCGTGTTTCTGTTGTCGTTTATAAAACATTACAAATACACGTAAATCAATCTTCATCTAAAAAAATTGGATCGTACGGAAAATTTTATTTTATGAAAAATCGATATCGTTAGTAAAACAAAGAATTCGCAAATATATTACATTGTATTATAAAAAATTAAATTATGAAATTTGTTAAGTCGAGTTAAATTAATAAAATCAAGTAAAAATAATTTAAGTAAAAAATAGTTAAATCAGAAAATTTTTTTCAAATAATCTCTCACATGCGCACGCGAAATTATTATTTAAAATAATATACATATATATCTGTATAATTAAAGACTTAATATATGTATATATTAATATAATAAACGATAAGTGTGAAAAAGTAAATAATTTGATATACGAATTGATACGTTGTATGTGCATTCGTTAATAATTATTGACGCATGATAAGCCGCACACTAATGCGGACGCGAGTAACGGCGTAAGTGAATGATAGCCAGGATAATACATATTTTTAGCTCTCTCGTAATACATCACGCAGGAATTCGTTCTCTGAATTTCGTAAGTCAGTTCAGTTTCCGCGGCATGCCAGGACGTTAATGTGAGTCTTTCTCATATTACTCTCTCAAATTTAGACTAGAACTACAAAAATGATGAAAGCTCCTAAATAAACAGCTTCGTAAGAACCGAGAAAGAGAGATATATAGTGAAAACAGTTATATAATTCGAAAAATAAAAGATAAAGAAAAATGAAGTGTTAAACAATTGTAGCTTTTATTTGGGAAGACTCGATCAAATCGAAGATCAAATTTCATGTTTTGCTTAAGAGGCAACAGTTAATTAATTTTTAACAATCTTCTATCATTCAATCAAAATACAAAAATAAAAATATACAAGAAATGAATATAAAAATTTTTCCATTATAAGAAAAATTATTCATTTTATATCAAATTTTAATGCATATATAATCTTAACAACACTATTTACATATCCGTATATATTGTACACTTATTGATTATATAAAATCCAATGTAGATTCGTGATCTGGCCGCGTAGTATCTTGGTTGTCCTCTATCACAATCGTTCCAACATGATTCACCGTAACGTACAGGTATGAATATTCGTAATTGCCAGACGCATTCTGTAATTAAAATTAAACGTGTGAGCGCAAATAATAAGTAGTATCTCCGCCCGCAAACTCGCAAACTTACCTCCTTCACTTCTGCATACACCGTTCCCTGCCTTCTCGTTCCTTGCACGTAAAATCTTATTCTCATGTACTTGATGCCGTTCTTAATGTAATACATATGACTGAAAGAACAAATGCAGTGGTATCAGTCCAAATGTCAATTATATATTCTAAAAGGACAGTTAAGACAGTATTCTTCACTTTCGAGATTCGACATGTATCGAGATGTGGCAGGATTCATACATATACAAAATGCATCTATATTTTTCTTTTATATAAAAACGCTAAAAAAATTATCTGAACATACCTGATGTGTCTCCTACGTCCACGTCGAGTTTCCTCTCCGTAGGCCTTCACAGGTGCCCCGAGAATGTCCATGACCTTCGGATGCTCTATGCAACGGACACGGGCTTCGCTGTAGACGGCGTATGGGCTTTTGCTGGAGAACAGCTCCGAAAATAGGGCGTACAACATGAAAGCCGTAACCCCAATGCCACCTATTATCACTCCAAGATATCCAGCAGATTTCAGGTTTTCCTTGACTGAAAAAAAAAAGAGAGGAAACAAATATAACCATTATGTGGCGATAGTGGCAATAGCATGGATCATGGGAAATTTACCTACTTCTGCAGTGCCAATCTGTACCTGATTATTGGTTTCGTTGGAGTCAACCTTGGCCACAGATTTCTTCGTCGAGTAGCAAATTCTGTGTTTAATGCTGGGAACAACACTGAGACAGTACGAGGTGTTTGGCATATGGGTGATCAAGTGTCTCCTCTGAAGAATGTGATTTAACGCTCTCGCCGACGCCATTATTCTGAAATATTAATATATAGTTATTAATATAACAACAAAAAATATATATAAAATATATATAACATATCACAAAATATATCAAATTTTACAAGAGCTTAATTTAAGGTTAACCGGTTCTTCACCAAAAGTATCAGCAAGCTATTGCAAACATATACAGTAATCTCTCGTCTTATTCAAATTATATTATATTCATTATTGTTATTAACACTTACACGATATATATATATATATGTACTAATTCATATACAAGAAAAGAGTTACTAAAAATAAATATTAAAGTAACTCCTATCCTCGATCACAAGATTGCGGTAGCGGTAGCCATGATCGCAGTATCGCACTGCGTTCGCATTTCGCTTGATGAACGGTATTCAAAATCAAATCTTGTGAAAATCATCTTAAATATGATCGCAAGATCTTATCATTTTATTAGGACAAAGAAACCATTAGTGATTTAAAATAGTTTTAAAATGTCGAGCCGTTCCAGCTGATGCTAAATTCTGATATATTCACGGAATATTTTTGATATTTCAACAATTCAAGAATATTTGGCGTTGGAACAGGGTGATATTTATATAGAGCAGTATTTATATTCCGATCTTAAATTTCGCTAGAAATACAATTCATAATCTCGAAATGCTATCAATAAGATGATCTTAAATGTAAAATCGGACTATAAATACATATTGTTTATGTCAGCCGTCAGGGTAGATTAGCGCGCGCTGATTCGCCGTAGAGCGTAAACTTGAAGGATATACCCTAGAAATTCCCTAGTTCACAACCAATTAGCACTCTGAACGAACTCCCAAGATTGGGATACCGGCTTAAGCTTGCCTAGCTCATCAAAACAACCGCCTCGTTGTTGTCGGATTGTTGACTTCATAGGTTAACGGCAGAAAAATAATAAAAATAAGCTTTTTGAGTGTCGAAACGCACACAGAGATAAGGTTATTAATGAAGACAGCACATCAGAGATTAGTTATGGTTGGCGATCGCGACGGGTAAATACAATTGTCAATTTTACATGTTGTCATCGAGATCTGTCAACTTGGAATAAACTCTCGCGAGATGAATCGCGAAATTGCATTTTGCGATATCATTTGCCAGAATTCTGATTTAGAATAGATTATTAAGTGGATCTAGTTGTGTCTGATGACCCGAGGCCAAAGTATTGCCACGTACGTGAAACTTTTGTTCTCAGGCTGAAGGAATTGCTGAGGCGCAGACTGGTCGAGTGCGGATGGCGGGATCAGGTGAAGCTGATCGCGAAGGAGATAATAAAGGAGCACGGCCACGACATCACCTATGACATGCTGCTGTCCGCAGTGACGAGCAGGGCTCGCACGCTTGTGCCGGACTCTGTGAAGAAGGAGCTGCTGCAGAAGATAAAGAATCAGCTGTTGGCCCAAGAGGAGAAGCTGAAGATTGTGACGGACCGTTAGGAATCTTATTTGGATTAGTATTAATTATTGACAATTTCCCCCCCCCCCCCAATGACAACTATGTTAAACACACTCGTAAGCGAGTCATGACACTCATGACAGGAATTGTGCTCTTTGAACAATTTATTATGTGACACGTGTTACAATTATTACTTTAATATATATAAACAATTTTTTTATTAAAAGGCAAACTGTTATTTTACTTCATTAGAATGTACGTCTAATAATTAGAATAGAATGTAATTATTTAATTTAAAGTGAGTTTAGGGAAATGTACATTTGCAAAAGAGTATTTTTTACATAATCTCTTGTACTTATATTTTAATCTGAAATGTACAAGATTGTACGAATTAAAAATATTTAGTTTCTCAAGTGAATTTAATTTGAATTATTGCGGCGTCAGAGATAAGTAAAACTACATTGATGTATATTCTATTCGCGGTAATTACGCTCGTCGCCGGCAGACGGCGACACCGGGCACGCCGCAATTCCGCATCGAGCTAGGTTAAGGTGATTTCGTGCGGCAGAGTGACACTATTTGGCGATTTGTAGATTTTTTGGTTCAACCGTCCAATTTTTTCCTCCGACGTCGGCGAGTTTCGACCGGTGGCACTACAGCGTTAATTATTTAGCGTAACCGTTAATAGTTGAAAGATGTTGATAAAAGTGAAGGTAATTATGCTGGCCCCAGATTGATCCCGTCTCGAAATTCATTCGCCGGCTCGGCAATATACTTTGATCCCGTTTTTTTTTCGTTTCAGACTCTCACGGGGAAGGAGGCAAGTATCCTGAAAACAAAGCGGTTTTACAAGACCGAGCGACGCACGTGATGCTCGGGATGCTAAAAGTGGTCCTTTTTTCGGAGCAGGATCGACTTCGTTTTTGCACAAAAACAATTTGACATTTCGGCCAATTTTGGAAAACGTTTAAATTGTATCTTGAGAATTTCTTGATTTGAAATATTTGGAAAACTGTAGAGCCATAAACGAGGATAAAAACAAAGTTAATCTTTTTATTGGAACTTTCAACTATATTGCTCAACACATCGTTATATTTGAATCGAGAGCTACCTCTCTTTCTTCGATCTGTTATATTTCTTCAAGTATAATATGCTAGTCTTCACCTAAACGTCTTATTTATATTTATTATTTTATACTGATATTTAAGTAGCTGTAAATAAAAAAAACGCGTTCTTTAAAATTCTCATAGGTCTTCAATTAATGTATGAGAAATGTAATAACGTATCTCTTCTTCAGATTGAAATAGATATAGAACCCACAGACAAGGTAGAGAGAATTAAAGAGAGAGTGGAAGAGAAGGAGGGAATACCACCGCAGCAGCAGCGATTGATATTTTCTGGCAAGCAAATGTACGTATAAATCATTATCGTGCTTACTTTTGTCGACGCCGTCGCGTCGCACAAAAGATAACGCCTATAATTTGTGATCAATTAGGAATTGAAATTGTCATTCACGGTTTGTCATAGTTAGTGCAATTTTAATATCTTAATTTTTCCCGTACATTCACCCAAACAGCACACTTTATCCGAGGGACGTTCTTTACATACGAAAGACATTCTTAAGACGTAAAGGATGTCCTCTGGAGAACGTTTTTTGGAAGTGTGTGCTGTATGGGCATTTTCAAGTGAAACTCTTTGAAACATGGCGTTATACATAATCCGACGTTGCAAGCAACGCAATAGTAACGCGTCTCTTTCCTAAATCCCTTCGACGCGCACACTCTGCATGGCCTTCTCATGGCAACGGTCCTCCTAGCGGTCGCAGGTATACACTTCGGGTAGTGATGCATCAAGCTCCATTCCTCCATTTGCATTCCTTTAACAACAATATCTACATTACTTTCGATCCGTACTTTACACTTTAAGATAGAGCTTTTGTGTTGAATTAAAGCAGGAATAAATAATTGCATATAAAAATCTCAATTGACCGATCGACTTTTTTTCAAAACCGGTATAAGGGATATGTTCGAAATTAGAGAAGTGAATTGAATTTAAGAGAAGACTAATTTTATTTAGAATTATTGAGAGACGTGTGTGATCGATTAAATATAAAATATTATATATAATCGGAAATAATTGGAAAGTGTTATGCTTTCGTTTCAGGAACGACGAGAAGACTGCGCAAGATTACAAGGTTCAGGGCGGCTCGGTGCTGCATTTGGTGCTGGCGTTGAGAGGAGGCTGCAGATACAACATTCCTCATTTATAAACGACTGCGAGAGGATATTGAAGAATTGCGTGAAGGCCACAGAAAGAGAGGGGAAAAAAAAAGAACAAAAACAAAATGTTTATCATCGCGCATGTGCGTTCACGGAAGGACTTGAAAACTCTATGTTATTTTTAAATAGGGTAACACAGTCATGTGATCTTTACAACCTAAATAAATATTTAATAAAGTAATTTAATCATGAAAATGACACGTGCGTATTTCTATTTTTAAAATAATTTCTTATTTAGGGGGATAATATGTTACCTTCCTCTTCTTACGCGTCGTATACATTTTACAACATTAGATATTGCAATGAGATTTTAATTATTTGTTGCAGCATTAAAAAAGTTATATCTAAGGAGAGGAGAAGTATATTGCTCGAACAGCGTGATTTATCACACAATAATTTATTTAATTAAAGTCTTAATAAATACAAACTATTGCAAGTATATAAATAAAACCTATATACCAAACCTATAAAAACATATGAAAACATGCTATAATACATTCTTAGGAAATTCGTAAAAAATTTGGTAAGAAAAAGACCCGACCCAAGTTCTACAGTATTAAGGACAGTTTTCCACAAGTTAATACTCCATGCATTAAACATATCAATTATCAACACTAATCACAATTGTTTTCTAAATTTTTCATGATCACACACTTTTGGTTTGGAATTTCTTATTTATTACTTTGTAAATATAAGTAGCCTCAACTATAATATATATTAGAATGCCTTGCTAAGTCGGCATTCAAGAGAATATAATTAACAAATTAACGGTATTATTTATAATTTAAAAAATTCGAGATTTCTAGGAATTCTTAAAATTTTAAATTCGGAAGTTCGATTTCACAATACTCTTAAAAGTTACCGAAAAATTATGAAGTTTAAGATAATATAATTATGGAAGAAGTACGCGAATTAAAATTAATTATATAATATTTTTCAAAATAATTATTAAATTGTAATTAAAAGTAGTTAAAATTAAAACTAAGCATTGTATTTTCATTCCAATCATTTATCGTTTCTTTTCTTTCGTCTATATTATAAACAGGACTATGATTTAAAAATGAAGTAAATATATAACTACAATTTCTCTTCGGTTTCAGTCTTTACAAGCATAATTATTATATAACTCATAGACATGAATTACAAACAAACGATTTGTTGTTCTTAACAATATTTTTAAAAAGATAAAAACATAAAGGCGAGAAGGCTAAATCAACAATTGGTGTTTCATATAAAAATATGCATTGCTTCGTTTCTTCATATTTCTGTCTTCTTAATAAATCAAAATTTCAACAATTTCGCGATTTATTTAAATCGAAATCTCTCATAATACATAATGTAATAAAATTCTCATAAATCTCTTTTAAATGATAATTTAGGTAAAAGCTACGTAGGTAGGTACAGGAAACAAAGCACTTTATTAATTAATTAATGGAACCGCCGCGCCAATTCGCTATAATACTACACGTTGCGAGGGTCAGGCTCTCGTGCACATTACAGCCGTATCTATCGCGGGCCTCCGGCTAGTTTCTGTGGTATCTGCTGTTATGCGTCGCCCGGCTCCACTTGGTCTTAAAGACGCGCTGGCAGATGTTGCAGTAGACCGCGGAGTTCGGCGACTCCTCGTGCTTGGACGTGATGTGCCGCAGCAGCGCGTGCTGCGTCGTGAACGTGACGCCGCACTTGTTGCAGTACGTCATCGTGTGGACGCTGCTCCTCACGCTCGCCGTCGCCGTCGCCTTCGACAACTCTACAAATGCATTCCTCGGTTTACCCAAAAAGTCTCTGGTCTCTATTCTAGACTACGTTCCTGACGCTACCAGATACTGCAAATATATCGGATATCGGCGAACGATCGTCTAAGAGGCGAGCCCTCCGCGACTCGCAGAAGACTAGAGAATTCCGGCGACAGCAGAATCTTGTTCCTTCGTCAATTTCAAGTGAGCTTTTAAGAGAGATTTTAGATTTAAAAAAAATCGCAACAGTTAATGTAAAAAAATTCGAAAATCGTTTCCCCGATGTTAAAATTGCACGGTAAACGCGCGGTTTAACGGCGATAGCGATCTCGGGAAAGAACGACGGTCGTGTCAACATTAATTTGTTTCTTTCAACAGAGACGTTACAGATAACTACATCAGTTTGCACGAAAATTAAACCACACTCCCGTTAATGAAATACGATAACATCGACGCATTAATTCCTACATTCAATGCCTCGTCCGCTTTAAGTTGTGTTATTTCGTCACAAGTCCACCTCGTCCTTGCATTCGCAATTATCGTCTTAGCAGTCCGTATACCTTTGAAGTCTGATAATGTTTAAAATGTGAAGCGATTTCCATTACCTGCGCTGGCCATAATAAGATTCCGGCAAAAGTCCCGGCTGCAGGTCACATCGTTATCTTGTCGCCGATCTGAATTTATACGACGGCTCTTTTTATAATTGCCGTCGAAAGAAGTGGCAACGATACGATACGACTAATTGAATTATCATAAAATGAGTTTGATCATTTGAAATGAAATGATCCATTGAAATAATTAAAATCAAACACACATTGAAGTCCGGTGGAAAAAGTAACGGTAAAGGAAATTTTTGTTCACAGCTCTTCTCTGAAATAAGTAATTAGCTCTTGACAGGTTTTCTTCTGAAAATAATTAATTAACGCATTAGGGATGGAGCGCAACGCATTATTGATCATCAGGCAACTGACTCTCGGTACACGGGGTGTGTTCCATCAGAAATTCTTTTTATTTACATTACTGCGATAACATCTGAAAGCGTATAGTCTTACACGATCTTTTTTTTTTTTTAATTAAGTTACAAGCTCACAATTACGAATACCGAACGTAACACGTACCTGAATAGAGAACGCAATATTTTTTTTTCTCGTGCTACCGACAGTGTGTCTCACGATATCTACAGTTAATTTCTATAAACTCACTGCAATACACATCCGCTGTTAATTCTTCTCGGAGAGAGAATTAACCCTTCCAGGCCGAGACGAATAATTTTTTACTTGCCGCTGCTCCGAAACCACATTATTTTTTTTTTTTTTGCGATCCTCGTTCGAACACCGCGGTAGATCCCCTTGACTAGGAAATACGAAACTGTCGGTTTTTCGGTAAAAGCTTCGGTAAAACTGAGCCTCGGAGGGTTAAACAGCTTTTCTTCCTGCGACAGCGCGCGTTCTCGATTTCACATTTCGCAGCGTACAGAACGGCAACATATTCCATCCGGCAATCTTTTCAGGACCGACAAAGGCGTCACGTATGAACGATCTTTTTATAGAAGGGAGTTAAATGTAAAATTCGTTCATATAAATTTATTAAATTACATATCTTCGAATCAATTTCGATGAAAGTCCGAGACGGGATGTAATATTAATGTCGCTCGAAAAATTTGTTCGTTTTTTCTCATCGATCCGAGAAATTTATGGGTAGAAAATGTTGTGTCCTGTACGCTGTGCATAAGTATATCCATGTCTAATGTATTCTTTATCCGTACTAAATTCTGCAAATATTGTTACATCTCTCCTTCTAACGATACTAATTACCTGAATCATTGGATCAAAACTTTAACTTCGAACACGTCCGCGCGGACAGGGCCACACG